CATTTACAAGGAACTCCCAAGAAACTTTTGATTCGTCCCTTAGGCGGCTACCCTCATGGAGGCCATAATGTCATACCCTTGGAGGGTCCCTTTCTGGTGTGGTCCTTTCATAAGCTCCTCTGTCTCATAGGCGGCTACCCTCATGGAGGTTTTAATACCATATCCATGGAAAGAACACACATACCAACTCAAGAGGGTCACACTACCATGCCCATGGAAGATAACAATCACATACGTCATATCATCATCATTCATTATATCAAACATTCATAAAATATTCTCATAATTCATTACTTTATCTCATCATTTCATAATGAAACTCTACATGCTTTCTACTGTATCATGCTACTACCATGCACAGATATCAAATAGCCACCACTCCAAAGGAGCATGGTGGAACTCATAAGGGGATTAACCCCAAGGATCCAAAGTTTACCTCTATGGCACTTCCAATCCAAGCTTTTTTCCTTGTAAGAGTCACAACCATAATTCACCTCACAAAGGAAACCTAAAGCACAAAGTGAGTTAGTGATCAACATATATGCCATTCATCATTATACAACACACAACATATGCTAGGGTATTGGCTATAATACTTAATAAACCTCAAGTTCATCATTCACTTACCTTTCTTTTAGAATCTCAAGAACCTTGGTCTTCCACCAATGAAGGTTCCAATAAGTTGTCCTCCACCTCAATATCCACTTGCTCCATACTACACAACCCAACATTTAAATCCATCAACAACATAACCATTTTCATCACATAAACCTCAAGGTCTCCAACATCACATTTATGTCATTTTTCCAAAATACACCAATCAACCATTTCTTTCACTTTCTTCTAACAAGAGACCATTTCATACATATTTAATACTTGAATCCATATTTCAAACATCCCCTAGCTACACATTTCATGCAAAATTCGTGGCATTATTCATACAAACCCTAGGTTTGTGCAAAATCCTTAAAAACATGTAATGGATAGAAAAATCTTACCATAAATCCTTATACTAAGATTGGAAGACACTTTCCCAAGCCTCAACGGTCTCCCATACCTTCTAAATAAAGGAAACCCAAAGTCTTGTCCAACTTTTCAAGGTGCAAAGCTCCCTCCACAAGCCACCAATTTTGAAAATGGAAGTGGGATGATGACGAGGGAAGGATTCTAGGGCATTTCTATGTTTACACTATATGATTTCATTGTCTCTTGGAAATGAGTTTCAAACTCTCCTTTGCCCTTTATCATGGTGGTCTTCGATATATGGGTGTAGGGTTGGCAAAACGGGCCAACCCGGCTCGACCCGGCCCAACCCGCATTCAACCCTAAAAAAATGGGTCGAGTCGGGTTGGCTCGAAAAAAAAAACGAGCCAGAAAACCCAACCCGGCTCGACCCGAGCCGGGTTAGGGTTGGCTCGCGGGTTGGCTCGATAATCAGCTCGTGGGTTGGCTCGGAAAAAAGCTCACGGGTTGGCTCAAAAAAAGCTCACGAGTTAGCTCGAAATGGTGCCAGTGAGTTGGCTCGCGGGTTGGTTAGCTCGAAATATTGGCTCGCGGGTTGACTCGCGAGTTGGCTCAAAAATTTTAATTTTTATCCTGTATATAATTATCAAATTATCAACACTGCCAAAACTATTGATTGCCTAATGGATAATGGTGTAAATACAGTAACTAATAAAACATAACCAATAAATTAAGAAATCCCAACATAGCAGTAGACAAACACATTACAAAATAAAAATTGTCCTATGAGTTCCCATGACCAATACAGTACAATAACAAAATATAAACATCCAAAAGTACACCATCATCATTAGATCATCTAAAAAGTTTCATGACCATTAGATCCCCGTGAAGAAGCTAATATATGGGAAATACCATCCTCATCATCATCATCATCTACAAAACACAAACCATAAAATGTAAATAATCAATTAAGGTTACAATGACAAATGAAAAATGAAATTTTAATTGCAGAGAGAATAAATAAATTACCATTGGCAACAAAACCAGCCAACCAATTGCGGGTACATATCAAAGCTTCAACATTCTTTGACAACAACTTATTTCTATATTTGTTAAGCACACGTGATCCAATGCTAAAAGCAGATTCAGATGCCACAGTGGTAATAGGAATGCTTAACAAGTCACGAGCCATTAATGATAGACTCGGAAAACGACAACTATTATCTTTCCACCATTGCAATGCATCTAAACTATTCCAGCTGTCAATAACCATTACAGGCGGCTCCTCTAAATAAACATCAAGTTCAGATTTTCCAGCATTTATTGCTTGGTGTTGAGTGTGCAAGGTCAATTCCTATCATATTTGAGAAGTGCAAAAACATAATAATTTAAGTAAGTAAGTACATGCATAAATAAAGGCGTGAAAATGAATATGATATAACATAATTAAAGCTTTTTGCTAAACATGAACTTACATCCAATATCTCATCATCCCATCCTCTCGATTCCATTGACCCTTGACTTGAAGAGTGGGTGTTATCTTGACTTTGATCAATGGTAGTTGATGAATTAATTTTTACATAATTCTCAAAGAGCTTATACACGTTTGCCTTTATATTTTCCATCTTGTCATCATGTGTGTAAGCATCAATCTTTCTATGACAAAAAGATAATGTAGTAAACTTAATGCGAGGATCAAGAACAGCTCCTAGTGAAAGCACATCACTATAATCTTCCCAATATTTTTGAAACTTATCCATCATCTTATTAGCCATGCTACTTACAACCACATCTTCATCATTACTCATACGAATGAGAACCCGCTGAATTTTCCAAACTTGTAGAAAATACAAGTTAGAAGTAGGATAAGAAGTGCCAGACATCAAATTAGTGATCTCACAAAATGGATGCAAGAACCGACAAAGAATTTCCAACCTATTCCACTCTTCTTCTGAAGGATAATACTTGTAATTTCTATCACTCAATTGGAGAATTGCTAACTCACGCCTGAATTTGAGAGCACGATTAAGCATTTCATAAGTGGAATTCCATCTAGTGGGTACATCTGCTATCAATGCAGTTACAGTTTTCTCACCACCAACTTGTTCAATGCACTCCTTAAATTTGATCATTCTTGATTCTGTGCCTTTTATATATTTAACACTCTCTCTAATCCGAGTCAAGGCATCATTTGCAACTTTTACTCCATCTTGAACAATCAAATTCAATATGTGTGCAGAACAACGCACATGAAAAAATTTCCCATCACATAACAACAATTTTTGCATATTCAATTGGCTTCTCAAACCACCAACCATAGAGTCATTTGCAGATGCATTGTCCAAAGTAATGGTAAAAATCTTCTTCTCTATGCCCCATTCCTTTAACAAACCAAGTATTTTATGAGTCAATTCAAATCCAGTATGAGGAGGAGGCATATGACGGAAGGCAATAATTTTACTATTCAGCTTCCAATTGACATCAATGAAATGGGCAGTTAAGCAAACATAACCCTCAGTATTACAAGATGTCCACAAATCTGAAGTTAAGCATATCCTACTTTGAATGCTACCAAACATCTTTTTCAGCTTCAGCTTGTCTCTCATGTGCAAATTTAAAACATCTTGTTTAAGAGTATTTCTAGAAATGCCAGTCCAATCTGGATTCAAGTAATTATGGAAACGCCTGAACTTTCTATACTCAGCAAAGTTAAAAGGTTGGTCATGTTCAATAACAGCTTCAGCATACATCTCACGTGCTACCTTCATATCTATTTTTATAGCCTTCATTTTACCTTGCATGTCCAATATGACTTGACCAATATCTTCATGTTTAATTTGTGTGCATTTATCAATGTGACGGTTTAAAGTAGACGTACCACAAGTCTTACTGTCAATCTTGTACTCTGTCTTGCAACCATTGCATCTTGCCTTTTCATTCCCTTTTTCTCCTATTATTGTGAAATGTTTCCAGCAACGAGCTTGCCTTTTCCTAGCCTTTTTAAAAGCAGGTCCTTCTTCAACTTCTTCCAATTCATCACTTTCTGCATCAACATCATTGCCTTCTTCAAGCATCGCCAAGCTTTCCCTACATCAAAGTTAAATATAAAATTACTATAGCGTGGAAAAGATAATTTAAACTAAAACAGATTTTAAAAAAATTGAAGAATATTAACCTATTTGAATCAGCCATTTCAGAGACTTGAAGTCGAAGATAAGTAAAGGGCAGGATCAATAATGATCTGTCTTCCTCTTTGGTTCCTGACCATATAAACAACTCATCAGCATTGATACAATCCAAGTAGTAGAGAGGGATTTCGGTCACAACAATACCTAATTACAGATCATACAACAGTTAGATTATAGCTAACAACCATATGACAACCATAAGTATCAAGTGACAAAGTCACAACTAGAATATCTAAAATCTTGTCTGAATTAAAGTTCTTCCATATAGACTTTTAAAGCATCAGGTTTGAGCACTTAATGGTATGCAGGGTTGGTGTATAATTGGTCAGCAATTCAAAATATATTTAGTAGTCTAAGCATTTATTTATGAACCAACAAAACGGGTTATGCAGACTGCAGAGCATAATGCATCACAGATCACTAGTACACGATCAATTTAGCCTTTCTTATGCACAAAATTAATTTCTAGGACAGTAGCTACAACATACACAATGGAGAAATGGAATGACATGTCTTAAAACAGAAAATGAATTATTAGGACAGTTGCAACACCATATAAATTAGAGCACTGATAGGTTTATTCCATAATTAAAACAGTAAGGATTTGGGCAAAAAGGATAGCCATAAAACCAAACTTGATAGCTCTTGATTTGACAACAAAATTTGACAACAAAATATTTTCCTTAAAATATAAACATGACCAGTCAATCATAAAAATCAAAGAAAACATCTAACACAATAAAACTTCATTAATTGCAGTATTACTACAGGATTCTATTTAACATTGCTAAGGGTTATATTTCTTTTGATGACATTTGGAAGGTACGCATTGCTAAAGATCCACTGATCCGTTTATGGAATTGCCTTCTGCAATCCATGTCAAGCGCATTGCTAAAGATCCTACTGACCGTAAGCTCTTTCTCATTCTCTACTAATTTAATTTGCTGAACCCACTACCTAATTCTAATTCTAATGCTATTCATCCATTTCTCAGAGACTGGTGAATCTCTGCTTGTCATTAAGGGGCCCCAGGGAAGAATAAATAGAGCTATTTGGGGACCCCTCAACAAATCTATTATTAGTGCCGGAGAAGATGCTATTATTCGTATCTGGGATTCTGAGGTCACTTCCATTCTTCATTCTTCTTTCTTTTATTAGCTTTCCAATTTCCTAACAGTGATAACAAAGTTAGTTTATTCTCTTTCACTTGTACGCAGACCGGAAAACTACTTAAAGAGTCAGATAAGGAATCTGGCCACAAAAAGACAATAACATCACTTGCAAAATCTGCAGATGGTTCACATTTCCTTACTGGCTCCCTTGATAAGTCTGCTAGGGTATTAATGATCAGCGTTTTAATTCTTTACTTTTTCTCTTTCTGTTAGTGCTCATCATAAATATTGTCTCCATAACTTCACCTGATTTTATTTTCGCCTAACCAGTTTTTTTTTTTTTTTGACAACGTCTTTTGGCTGTTAACTAGCTTTGGGATACCAGAACCTTAACTCTTATCAAGACATTCAACAAAAGACCCTAAAATGCAGAAAAGCATACATCTTGATCTGAGATCTCTGATTTTATCACCCCCAAAAGAAAGAAAAAAAGGAAGATTTAAAGGTTAAGACTAAGAAGAAAAAAGAGAATACCTGAGTGAAAACACAGAGGTGGCTGTCGGTGGAGAGGAGGAGCACGGTGGCTGACTGGCTGCCAAGATCTGGAATAAAAATGGAAAAAAAAATTAATAAAATGCAAGACCAGTGAAACAAGAAGAAAGGGGAAAAAAAAACCTTCAAGTTGCGGAAGAGAGGATGTCGTCGCCCGCCGTCGGTGTGGGTGGGGTGGGGTGGGGGACCTGGGTGGGGTGGGGTGACTGCTGCTGGTAGTGACTAGGGAGCGGTGAGTGAGAGTGAGAGTGTCTGATGATGAGTGTGACTCGTGCGTGTGACTCATGCGTGTGACTGTTTTTTATTGTATTTTATTAAAAAAAAAAATAGTAACCCGCGAGCTGGCTCGTTCAACCCGCGAGCTGGCTCGTTTGAGCTCGGGTTGGCTCGGGTCGAGCTAAATCGAGCTGACAGCTCATTTTTGCCAACCCAACCCGGCTCGTTTTGTGCGGGTTACGAGCCAACCCGACGGGCTGGCTCATTTTTGCCACCCCTATATGGGTGTGATAAATGAGTTTGCGAGAGAGAGACCGAACTTAATGAATTTTTGATTTTTCGCGAATGCTCGTTGGGAAACTCGCATCAGCGAGCAACAATCGCGAGCTAAAACAAAGCTCGCTGAGTAGCTCACTTCAGGGAGTAGAGGGCTGTTAACTGTTTTAATTTTTTCTTTCGTTTCCTTTACTCTAGCCGACACTTAGCATGTATTAATGTGTGTTTTCTCTCATAGTTCTTGTAAATTATCTTCACAAGTTTTAGGCAAATTTCTGTATTTAACCTAAAACTCTTTGTATTGTTGTTTTTATCTGTCATTCTAATTCTTTTATATTCTATAAAATCCTTAATTATTCTGATTACTAGGTTGGGATATTATATTTGTGCAATAAAGACAAAAAACTTGGGGAATTCTCCAAAATATTTTCAAAAGAGTTAGCAAAGTAAAGACGATACTCCATAAAGAATTGAGTTTGAATCCTTACGCAGTTATTTTACATGAGCATTGGAGAGGTTATGATCAATCAAATGAAGCGGTATAGTGAGATTTTAGAAGATGTTCATGTGGTGAAGAAAATCACAAGTTCTTTTAACTCGAAATGTATCGTCTTGCTATGGCTATTAAATAAATATAAAATTTAGAGACCAATTCCGTTTATAAACTACAAGGATTTCTGTAAGCTTAAAAAAAGATTGAAGAAGAAAGAACCTTTAGTTCAAACACCGTAAGTAAATGTCTCTTTGAGAAACAAAGAGCATGAACAAGCTAGTTCACAGGGAAGAGGAAAAGGCTATAGACAAAGCATCCAAGAGGTTAAGGTTGTAAGTCAAAATTGGCTGCACAAAGGTCCCACCTTGATGCGCCTACATGAGGGTAAAAACAAAAAAATGGTCTTTGATGCGGAAGCATAGACAATCTATGCGCCTCATATTTTAGGATCTTCCAGTTAAACATGTAGGGTTTAAAATTCATACATTTTTCAGTTGAAGGTGTCAAAGTGGATGACTCCCTCTAACAGTAATCCACACGGCTACCTCTTGGTTGCTTCTGAGAAACGCTTTCTCCCTGAACCCTCCCTTTCCTTGGAAGCTCGCTAGGCTGCGGCAAGGTGGAGGCTTTCAAGTGTTTTTGTTTATTTTTCTCAAGACTGTAATGTTGTCTTGAGGTTAGGTGAGAGGACCAATAATGGAGGAAGAGAGATGAAGAGAAAGAGGGGCGGCCAAAAATTAGGATTTTAGTCCAGAGAGGCGCTGTATATCTTGATCTGAAGAAAAAGACGTTACTTTAACGTGGTTCAGCAAATCCCTTAATCAGCATTAAGAGATGGACGTTACAATAACGTTTCCTCATCAAATCCCTTAATCAGCATTAAGAGATGGACGTTACATTAACGTTTCCTCATCAAATCCCTTAATCAGCATTAAGAGACAGACGTTACATTAAATATAATTTTATTTAAATTCATAATTCAAATAAAATAGAAATAATAAATCTCTATCTAATCATATTAGATACAGATAAGAATAATTCAAAACTATCCTTAATTACCTAACCTCTTGAATTTAAATAAAATTAAATTCGATTTTATCCTAGCCTGCAATTTAAATTTGAATTCAAATTCGAAAGTCGAAAATTCAAAATTCAAATTCAAATTTTGAATTGCGCCAAAAACTTATTTTGGCCAAGTCAACTATTTGACTTGCTAGGATTCATGGCTCAATACCGTATTGGGCCTACTAACACATTTGGGCTTATTAATAGAAAAATTAATCTTTCACTAATAGTCCAAAGGCGCATGATGATATTGGACTTGGAGTTCAACTCCAACCCAATTACACCTATAGTCTTGAAAAACCCAATAACACTTATTGGTCCAAACTTGCTAAATGTAAGCAATCAAGAATAACCTTAGTGTGTGACCTATTAGGCTCAATTAGTCACTGACATAAATTAACTTGAACCAATTAAACTCTTTTAACAGGCCCAATTTATCTAATGACCACATAAGACACTAGCAATGCTCTGCATCCCCAGAACTAATTGAGTTGATCAAGTGATCTACCTTTCTAATTTCGATACCGTGCCGGCATCATCCCTCACAACGTCATTCACATTTAGTCGAGAGCAAGGATAGAGTATCATCTCTCTTTATTGACTAAATATAATATTTCACAGGAACTAGGAATCTTCTTCCATTGACACTAAGATAGATCATGACTCTTCATGATCTCTTACTATGCATAGATTCCCCAGTCAACTAGAAGTCATCCAAGCCCTACCGGTCTTGTGAATGACTAATCCCTTATAGGGGATTGTGAAGTCCTTTCGGCATGTTCATCTATACTCATGTATTCGAGTCATACCCAAGAGTACACTGTTCTCCCCATTTTTCAGGCGGATAAAGTTGTACAGTCAAAGTATAACTCTAGGACATAGTATTCAATGACATCCTTAAGTCTAGGACGACCTGCACTACCAAACGATGAGAGACTTTACAAATCCAATGATACTCTCTATAATGAATCCTTGTGGAGTCTCTCGGTGGGTCAGTTCAGTGCTATCTGTTCTCTAACAGATCCACCCACGACATCACCTAAAGCATCACCATGCCTGCATTCCATGAGGTTCCTACCTCGTATCTTTATACAACTAAATGACGTCGTACTAGTCTTATTAAGATCACCATTACCCTTTCTTGGTGATTCAAGACCAGGAACAGTTTTTATATAATAGACATACAGTGTCCTCGAGTCCTCATGATCATGATCTCTATCATAGATCCCTGAGTGAACACCTGTTCTATTCTTAGGGTCTTTATCTTTATTCACATATTAACAATAAAATATTGGCGAGACATAAATATGATAAAGATAAAGTTTGCTCAAATTTATAAATCATGAAATACCACTTCGAAAAAGGTGTTCATCTGATAAAACAGATTGTCTCTTGGACACCTATATACTAACAAAGTTTGTAGAGTAATAAGAGATGAAAAGAACATTGAATAAATATGTATATTGAATTGATACACGAGTGTACAATATATAGAAATCCTAATAAGCTTAGCTCAGACCTAACCCAAATCCTAGTGAAAAAAGGAAACAAATATTTACAAATAATACAGGTAATATTTTCAACACTCCTTCTCAAGTTGGAGCTAATCATAAGCACTAAGCTTGTTACATATATACTCTATTCGAGGACCCCTAAAAGACTTAGTAAATACATCTACTAATTGATCATTAGAGGGTACAAAATTGGTCCTAATTTTACTAGCGAGGACCTTCTCTCGAACGAAGTGATAATTTATCTCAATATGTTTGGTTCTTTCATGAAACACTAGATTAGAAGAAATATGCAGTGCTACTTGGTTATCACAAATGAGAGTTGCTAGTCTAGTGTCTCCAAAAAACTTGAGCTCTCTAAGAAGTTGCTTAAGCCAAATGAGGTCACAAGAAGCAGTAGCCATGGAGCGATGCTCTGCTTCAGTACTTGATCTGACAACTACATTTTTCTTCTTACTTTTCTAGGAAACCAAGTTGCCTCTAATGAAGACACAATATCCAATAGTAGATCTCCTATCAATAGGACACCCGGCCCAATCAGCATCAAAGTATTTGATACCTTTAGCATGACCATTATCTTCATATTCAAGGCATTTTCCTAGAGATGCCTTGATATACTTGAAGATACGAATAAGAGCATTCCAGTGTTCTTGACATGGAGAATTCAGAAACTGACTTACCACACTAACTGCAAATGAATTGTCAGGTCGAGTAACTGTGAGGTAGTTCCGTTTTCCAACTAATCTTCTATAACTTTCAGGATCTGAAAAAGGCTCCCCTAATTTAGTATAAACTTG